ATTAGAAAATAACCTAATTTCTATTTAAATGCAATATAGACATTTATAAATACTGGACCATAACAAATTAGCCATAAGGTTACTGTTCATTAGGCAAAAGAATGAGCAAGAACATCCCAGCAAGTCATAGCTTATTTGATGACTTGGAATTCGTTGCTATGACCATGACCATGACAAACAGGTTCCTAGTTAGGGTAAGTACTGTGACTTGGATTAACTCTCTTACTGAAAACAATGAAAAATGCCAGATAAAATATAAATACCCTAAACCTTAAGCTCTGAAAACAGGGGGAGCTTTCAGACTAGTTTCTGAAGGAAAGCCTTAGGCAGAGAGTTGAGAACGTGAGAGCACGGAGCTGACTGTGCCCAGCAGGCACTCAGCAACAGCACAGCACAGGTATCAGTGGGACCCCTGCACTCAGACCCTCCCAGCACACAGAGTTTTATGAGTCACCTCACACAGAAACGGGCACCTGCAGAGAGGGGGTTATCCTCTCAAAGTAAAGAAAAACTAGATCCATTCGCCAACCCTTCCACACACATTCACGCTCCTGAAAACTGAGAAGGCTGCCCTGGGAAGTTACAGTCTCCTACCTACACTGTCAGGGATTTACATACTGATGCTGTACAAAGGATGCTGACCTGAAGCCCTGCCCCAACTGGCAGAGCCCTTAGGTGCCTGGAGAAAGGAATATCCATACTTGACTTCAGGGAATGCCCTGTAAAGAGTTTCAGGAACAGTGTCCTGGAAGGATAGACAACATTCAGGCCTCCAAGAAACCAGGAAGATCTGGGCATGAACAAGATATGACAGGCACCACAGACAGAAGATGACCTTCTTTAATTGTACTCTAAGTTCTGGGTACATGTGCAGAGCGCGCAGGTTTGTTACATAGGTATATACGTGCCATGGTGGTTTGCTGCATCCTCCTCCGTCATCTACATTAGGTATTTCTCCTAATGCTCTCCCTCCCCAACCCCCAACCTACCAACAGTGCCCGGTGTGTGATGTTCCCCTCCCTGTGTCCATATGTTTTCATTGTTCAACTCCCACCTGTGAGTGAAAACATGCGGTATTTGCTTTTCTGTTCTTGTGTTAGTTTGCCGAGAATGATGGTTCTGATATTAGAATGACCACATATACTGTAGAACTACATTTAATAAACATGAATAAGTAAGTCACACACTAGGAAATACCTACAGGGAACAGGAAATTATAAAATAAAAAGCAATACAGATTTGAAAATAAAAAGAAGCAGAATTTCTAGCAATGATAGACTTCTACAAATGAAAAATAACCAAAATCAGAAACTCAAAAACTGTAGAACACAGGGGAAAAAGGAAATATCATTTGGAATATAACACTAAGAAAGAAAAAGCTGACATGTACAAAAAGACAGTAAGAATTAGAAAATACAGTGAGAAAGTTTAAAGTCTACGTGATCTGAATTGCTGAAGGAGACAGAACAAGAGAGACAGTAAGCAATGATAATGGCAGAAAGTTTTCCAGACTGATGAAAAAGGAGCATCCATAGATTCAAGAAGCACAGAGAATCCGAAACAGAGTAAGTAAAAAAGAAACTTAAATTTAGTTACATCACAGTGAATCTACAGAAAACTAAATCTACATCTCCTCCCCCAAAAAATGTTTTAGAAGGACACAAGGGACAAAAAGAGAGATTTCCTTCAGAGGAAAGACTTGAGATGAACCACAATCCTCTCAACAGCAACAGTTCAGAACATGAGATAAAGAAATAACATCTGCGCAGTGCTGAACAGTAATATCAAAAATAACTACCAACTGAAATGTAATGCTCAGCAAAATATCCCTCAAGGAAGAAGGACTTTGTCAGACAGACAGTTTGCCCCCAAACGAAGCTAAAGGAGACTAGAGAGGGAGACTAGAGATAAGTGAAGGCCGCAGGGGGTGCTCTGCCGTCAGAGATAAGTGAGGGCAGTAGTGAAAACTGAGAAGAAATGCAGTAAGTGTGCGGATAAATGCAAATGCACATGAACTGCACTGAAGCGGTGATAACAAAGTCTGGTGGACATTTAAAAGAGAGAAACACACAAGGCAGACTGAAAACTGCCGCAAAACACCGCCAATAACATACATATCCCGGGGGACTGCGCGGAGTTACGCAGGCTGAGGTCTGTGTATTACTAGGAGAAAAGAAAGCTGCTCTTCCAGTTTGGCTTTTAATACATTAATATGCATGATGAAAATTTTAGCGTGACCCGTAAAAGAACATAAAGAGAATATACAAATACCAATCTTACATAGGGGAAAAACTAAACGAAAAATAAAATATCAATGACACATGAGAGTGGAAGTAAGAAGACAATGTATGACAACGTTTGCAAGACTAAAGTAGGATGAATCTGAAAAGACCAACAATTACACTGTGTAAACAGAGTACATGTTGTAGTTAGAAGTCAAAAATTGGCCAAATTATTTTTATTTACTTACTTACTTATTTATTTGAGACAGGGTCTCACTCTGTCACCCAGGCTGGACGGCAGTGGCATGATCTCAGCTCACTGCAACTCTCCCTCCCAGAGTCAAGCAACTCTCCTGCCTCAGCTCACGAGTAGCTGGGATTACAGGCATGTACCACCACACCGAGCTAACTTCTGCTCTTTTAGTAGGGATGGGGTTCCACTGTGTTGGCCAGGCTATTCTCAAAGTCCCGACCTCAGACGATCCCCTCACCTCTGCCTCCCAAAGTACTGGGATTACAGGCGTGAGTCACCACGTCCAGCCTGGACAAATTAATTTTAAAATACTATATGATATTCATATTACAGAGATCTAAAACATAATAAGAGAGATGTTGGAAAGAAAAGACTGAAAAAAGATAGAGCAGGCAAGTATCAATCAAAAGAAAGTTTACATGATTATGCTAAAATGGGACAGAGTAGTGTAAGGCAAAAAGCATTACTAGAGATAAAGAGGCCACTTCACAATGACACGAGGGTGATTTCATTAGATGACATAATTTGAAATTAAAATACACGTAATAACATGGCCTGAAGATACATAAAACAAAAATTGTCAGAACTACAAGAAATAAATGCATGATAGTAATAGTAGATTTATACACATCTCATTCGGTAACTTACAGAAAACGCAGGCCAAAATTAGTAAGGGGAAGATTTGAACAAGGTAACTAATAAATGATCTGATGGACATACATTGAATACTGCACCGAACAGCTAAAAAATATATTTTTTTCAAACACACTGAATATTTACAAAAGAATAACCTCACAATGTGCTATAAACACAGTCTTGATGAATTTCAACATATTAAAATCTCCCAGACTACGTTCTCTCACTTCAAAGCAGTTAAACTAGAAATCAGTATACAAAGATAACTATAACGTATCCACACGACATTTAAATAAGTGTATATTAATAACCCATGATTCAATAAAGAAAATATAAAATACTTTAACTGAAAGATTAAAATTATGTGTGTGAAAATTTGTGAAGTGACACGAAGGCAGTGTTTAAGAGAAACATCATCTCAAATGCATAAATCAGAGAAGAAACATGGGAAACTAACAAGCTAAATATTTACACCAAAATGTCAGAAAAATACAAAACAGACCTAAAGAAAAAGGAAATAAGAATTACAACAATCAAAACAAAAAGAAACAGAAGTGATTAGCAAAAAGAAACAATGACATTCTAAACCATGTTTTATAAATTCAAATTTCTAAATCTGTATAAATAAAAACCGAAAGTAGAAGTGAGGTAATTCCGAGACGTCACGAGCCAAAGAACATAGAATTTAAGTGAAGGGTTTAATGCACACACACAAGTTAACTGTGTTTCATGGGTGGGGGCAGAGGGTAGAGAACTATGTGAGGAAACGAACTGCAGAATTCACTTCTACAATGGTAACTACGTGACCATGAAGGTGTTAAAATTAACTTTTTCTTTACTTCATAATATCTTTTTTAAGTACAGTTGTGATTTCTAAATTCGGTACTGTTATTCATGATCATGACAAGCAATCCAGAGCTCATGACTGACTGCTATCTAAAATTTTCCCTATACAGTTAGTTCGAAATTGACAAACAGTTTCACATCAGACTCTGCTGAGTTATGCTTTGGATGTCCTCGTAATTTGTTATCTGAAAGCGGTCACTATTGCTTGGGTCAAATGCTAACTGGGGCAGATCACTGGAAGCAGGCATAAGGCTGAGGTGCAAGAAACACATCCCCCCTTTACCACATCACCCATGCTCCAGTGAGGGGGTGGGGCAGGAGTTGGGAGGGCTCAGGAGGGCAGGAGGGAGCCATGTCCCTGCTCCGCAGCAGCTTCTAGGGAAAGCCACTGGCTGGCAAAGCCTGCTACTGCTCCTTGCACCATCAGCTAGTCTTCCTAACTGGCTCCTCTTCTGGGGGCCTTTCTGCAGAAAGAAAGGGAGGGGGATTTCCTCCTCCCATAGTCAACAGGCAGCTCACCTAAGGATCCTTCTAAGGCACAGTTTCTCAAATGAGAGCAATTTTGCAACCCAGGATACATATGTCAATGCGTAGAGACAATTTTGGTTGTCCTACTGAAGGGAGAGGAGTGGGGCTATCGGCATCTAATGAGCAGAGGCCAGCGTTTCTGCTAAATACCCCACAGTGCACGGGACGGCCCCATAACAAAGAACTGTCCATCCCAAGATGCCTTCAGTGCCAAGGCTGAGAAAGCCGGTCGGAGGATTTGTACTACCAGTTACGATAAATAGCCAGGCAAGAAGAAAGTACGCTGAGGGACAGGTGTGGGCCAGGAAGGAAAGAGAAAAACAAAGAAAAACCTTTAGAAAGTCAACAAAGGGAAGGGATTTCCTATGTTCACCCTGCCAGGGTGGCAGGGTTCTCAGTGGTTACTTCATGAAGGGAACGCGCACGTCTGAACAAGCACCCTAAGCTAGGGCTCCCTATACAGAATTACCAAGGACATTTAAAAAGAACTTTTTTCAAAAGCTGCTGGAACTGACTGTAGAGTGATAGTCTTTCAACACAACAGGATACTGTACGATTGCTTCAAAAGCAGACAACGTGATGTTGATCAATTCTTCTGACGCTGTCAGTCCTAGGAATACAGGTAATTATTACAGGTACGTATTTACATGTTTAAATCGCAATATCCAAGTACCTCAAACACACACATAAAATGCTCCACGGTCTACTCACCCATGGCTCCATCTATGTTTGTTTCTCCTGAGTCTACAGATTTAATATGACTCTGAAAAGAATAAATATTTTAATAAATAGAGTTTCAAAGTAACTCTGAAATAAAATGCAGGTAGTTTACATTTGCCCAAAACTGTACCTATTGCTCTTAATAACTCATAGACAGCAACACTCTACGTACATTATAAATACCATTAGTTTTTAAATTATATTAAATAATATATGTAAATTATTAACTACAATCATTTTTAAATATACAAATCACTATCAATGAGATTTAATGTTGGAATACGGTCAGTGGTAATGTAAGCACTTGCAAAAGTGAGAATAACAGAACTGATATATAACCATCTCCAACCATGTGCCACACTTACACATTTGCCGTATCGGCAGTTAGTTAGAATGGCACCTAAGCAGGGGGACAGTCATCTCAAAGGAAGGTCAAGCCTTCGGTTCCCTGAATACAAAGTGTGTCAAGACAGCAGTTTTGCTCTCAAGGCCTGTCTTCAAATTTCACCATGTTTTAGTTCCTGCTCTGTGCTCCCACGCACCTCGCAAGGTGACACCCATTGCTGTTTGAGAGGAAGACCTTTGTAGCTTGGCTGTGAGCTCTCTGAGGCCTCAGCTCCCCGGATGAGGGGGCTTCCCAGTGTCTGACCAAACGCTCTGGACAGAAAAGGCACTCCACGAACACGGCCTCAATGAAACACTCACTGCCACGCGAGGCAGAGCCCCCACGTTACCGTCTGCAAGAACACTGCAACAGAGTTCTTGCCCTAGTGAACAAAACAATACATAGACATTCTTTTATATATGGTAACAGGCGGCAAATAAAATGTAAGATGACCTTGTAGGTAAAAAGTGATGAAGTATGAGCAATTAGTGAGCAGTAGAAATTGGTCTACTGTGCTCCATTTTAAGACAGTGCTATGTCTAAAAACATCTAATACAATAGAATGTACATAACAGGTACAAAAGAACGCAGGCATATATTTTGTGTTAGAAAGAAAACGCTTAAACACCACCCAAGGTAAGGACTAAGATGTCCCCAACTGGTTGCATGGACTCCCCTTTGCCGCCTGCCTACCACTTCCAGAGATAACCACGGCCACGTATTTATCATTTCCTCAGTTTTCTTAAATAGTTTTAACACACATACACGTGTCCCTAAATAGTGAACTGTCTGTGTATTTTTGAGCCTTACTGAAATTATACCAAACTAGCTACAGTTCATACAAACAGAATAGCAGCCGCTAAAATCTTCAGAAAACGTAAGACCCAAAATCGGAAAACAACTAGAAAAAAACAGAGGGTGAAGCTCCAAGACTTTGGTCTGGGCAACGACACTTTTAGGTCTAACCCAAAAACACAAGCAACAAAAGCACAAACAGACAAATGGGATCACGTGAACCTAAAAAGCTTCCGCGCAGCCAAGGACACAAAAGAATGAAGACAAGCTACGGAATGGGAGAAAATCTTCGTAAACCACAAATCTATAAGGGGTGAGTATCCAAAATATATAAGGAACTCAACTCAATAGTAAGAAAGCAGATAACCGAATGTCTTCAAATGGTCAGGCCAGGTGAAGTGGCTCATGCCTGTAATCCTAACACTTTGAGAGGCCAAGGCACAAGGATAACTTGAGGCCGGGAGTTTGGGCAACTTAGCAAGACTGTCTCCACAGAAAAATAAAAAAACAGCCAGGCATGGCAGCATGCACTTGTAGCGTTCGCTACTCAGAGGCTGAGGTGCAGGATCACGTGAGCCCAGGAGATCAAGGCTGCGATGGTCTATGCTGGTATCACTCCACTCCAGCCTGCGCGACAGAGCGAGACCCTGCCTCCCACAATAAAACGTCAAAGGAATGAATAGACATTACTCAAAGAAGATATGCAAATGGTTAACTATGAAAAAAACGCTCAACATCACTAATCAGGGAAAGGCAAGTTAAAACTATAATGAGATATCACTTCGCATCTGTAAGAATGGCTACTATCAAAGAGATAAAAGACGAGCGTGCTGAGGATGCTCAGAAGGGGAACTCCTGCACACTGTTGGTGGGAACGTAATTAGCACAGCCATTATGAAAAACAGCATGAACATTCTTCAAAAGAATTAAAAATAGAAGCACCACATGATCCAGGAATTCAACTACTGAAATACATATATACGCATTTCCAAAGGAAATAAAGTCAGGATGTTGAAGAAACAGCTACACTCCCATGTTCACTGCAGCCAAGATATGAACCAACGCAACTGTCCATCAACAGATGAATGCATTTTACAAAGGTGGCGAATATACACAATGGAATTTTTTGAAAAAGGAAAACCTGTCACTAGCGGCAACATGGATGAACCTAAGGTTCATCCTTATGTTAAGGGAAATGAGCCCGGCACAGAAGCACAAACGTCATGTGATCTCACTTACAGGATGGAACCAAAACAGGTGAACTCTGAGTGGAGAAGAGATAGTGGTTACCAGGGACTGGGGGTCAGGGGAAGACACTGGTCACAGGACACAATTTTGTTTACATAGAAGGAATCGGTATGAAGAGATGCAGAGTACATAGTGAACATGGTAGAAAACTGTAGACTTGAAAATCAGTAATGGCAGATTTCAAGTTTTCTCATCACAAAAACAAGTGTGTGAGGTAACAGATACTTTCATTAGCCGATTTAGCCATTCCACAATGTATACATATTTCAAAACAATCTGCTGTACACAACGAATGTACATCATTCTTATTTGTTAATTTAAAATTAAATTTTAAAATGTTTTTAAGAGGAATTTTTTTTAAGTTATGGGAAAATACCTAAATGCAACCTAATTGGTTTTTTTTTCTGGTTTTTTTTTTTTTTTTTTTTTGAGGAGAGAGAGTCTCACTCTGTTGCCAGGCTGGAGTGCAGTGGCATAATCTTGGCTCACTGCAGCCTCCACCTCCCAGGTTCCAACAATTTTCCCGCCTCAGCCTCCCAAGTAGCTGGGACTACAGGCATGCATCACCATGCCCGGCTAATATTTGTATTTTTAGTAGACACGGAGTTTCACCATGATGGCCAGGTTGGTCTCGATCTCTTGACCTCATGATCTACCCGCCTTGCCCTCCCAAAGTGCTGGGATTACAGGAGTGAGCCACCATACCCAGCCAAATGCAACCTAACGTTTTTAAAGGTAGAATATGAATCTATGGACACAGAATGGTCTCAACCACATGTATTTGTATATGTCACATATACGTTATAGATACATAAATAACTGTGTCTACAATACAAACACATCTATATGAATAGAAAGCATAAGAAAACAAGAACAGGTTAACAACGGTTGTCTCCTAGTGTAGAGTTATAATTTTATAAGAAACAAGAACAGGTTAACAATGGTTGTCTCCTAGTGCAGAGTTATAATTTTATTTTTTCAAATTTCACAGTTTTCCACATTTTCTTTAATAACCATAAATAATTTAAACAAAAAAACTTAAAAGACATTTATTGTCTAGGTTATAAACAAAATCAGAAAGCCTAAAAAATGCAAGCCCTTTAAAAACTGAAAATAAAGGATATCTTCCAATTTTGGTGGGGGGGGGGGCGGTTCAAAGAAACAAAATTGACTTTAAAATGAAGTTAATTTTTAAAAGTAGCAATGTATGCTTTTCATGATAATTTTGTTAAAATCATTTCACATAATTCCAAAATGGGCACATAACTTTTGTTGAATAAAAAATTCAGAGAGAGTGAGAGAGATATCTTTTCACTTCAACAAATCTACTTAAACGTCTATGAATCACTAAGTAAAAAAAAAGAGGACACAGCACTGTATGTAACAACAATCCCTTCTGTGTAAGTCCCTTAAAAATATATACATAGGCCCACTGCAGTGGCTCGTCTGTAATCCCAGCACGTGGGAGGCCAAGGAGGGAAGATCACAAGGTTAAGAGATCAAGACGGTCCTGGCCAACATGGTGAAACCGTCTCTACTAATAATACAAAAATTAGCCAGGCGTGCTGGTGCGCGCCTGTAGTCTCAGCTACTCCAGAGGCTGAGGCAGGAGAATCGCTTGAACCCAGGAGGTAGAGGATGCAGTGAGCCAAGATTGCACCACTGCACTGCAGCCTGGCAACAGAGCAAGACTGTATCTCAAAAATTTTTTTAAATAAAAAATACACACACACACACACACACACACACATGCAATATACCAATGCTGGTGATGTGAACAACAATTTTTGAGGAAGAGATCACTGGCAAGGACAAGTGTCGCTTCCTTTGGGAGCCTGAGGAGGTACGGACACTTCCCTGCGTTTTCTGCCTTTTGCTTCCCTCGGGACGTTCTAACCACTCACACGCACTGCCTTTTTCTTTTATATATATAAAAGAAATAAGCTTGACTAAATGCTGACATTTATTCTTTATTATAAAGAATTATGAGATTCTTTTAACTGATTTCCTACCTTATATTTTCCCTATTTAACTTTTTTTAAATCCCTACTAAATATTTCATTCATTTATCAATTTCAAGGTCTTTTGATGTATTTCTTCCTTCTCATTCTCAGTGTAATAGGAAGTAATGAGGGGGGAGTGAGGACGGGGTAGGAGGCATTGGAGATTCAAGGAGAAGGGAACATGGAAATAGCAGCTGATGTGAATTTTAAGACAGACCAGTTATTTGCATTGTCCCCCCGCCCCCTCACAGCCATATTTAGCCACTCAGAGCAGGGCTAAGGTAGGTGGAGACTTAAATTTAACTAGCATTAAAATTTGCCAGCGAGCCAGATGCAGTGGTTCATGCCTGCAATCCCAGCACTTTGGGAGGCTGAGGCAGGCAGATCACTTGAGGTCAGGAGTTCAAGAGCAGCCTGGCCAAATGGTGAAATCCCATCTCTACAAAAAAACATAAAAATTAAGCTGCAAGTGGTGGCACACACCTGTAATCCCAGCTACGTGAGAGGCTGAGGCATGAGAATTGCTGGAACCCGGAAAGCAGAGGTTACAGTGAGCCAATATCGCTCCGCTGCACCAGCCTGGGAGACAGAAAGAGACTCCATCTCAAAAAAAAAAAATAGCCGGGTGCGGTGGCTCAAGCCTGTAATCCCAGCACTTTGGGAGGCCGAGGCGGGTGGATCACGAGGTCAAGAGATCGAGACCATCCTGGTCAACATGGTGAAACCCCGTCTCTACTAAAAGTACAAAGAATTAGCTGGGCATGGTGGCGCGTGCCTGTAATCCCAGCTACTCAGGAGGCTGAGGCAGGAATTGCCTGAACCCAGGAGGCGGAGGTTGTGGTGAGCTGAGATCGTGCCATTGCACTCCAGCCTGGGTAACAAGAGAGAAACTACGTCTCAAAAAAATAATAATAATAATAATAATGCCAGAGGAAGACAAGGAAGGAAGAGGGGAATGGGAGCTCCGATCTATGCGAGGAGGGATTAATGCTGGACCAGGCGCTCTAGGCAGAGTAAAGAGAACGTGAAGAAGCAGAGCCCTAGCAGGGCAGAATGGTGAGTAGAAAGCAGGCAGGAACAATTAAATCTCGCAGGAACAATTAAGTCTCAAAGGAACTGAAGAGCTGCTGGGGAGGAGAGAAAAGGAGCTGAAAATCAGGGCTGGTGGACCAACAAGGGGATGCTGACAGTAAGGTCAAGTGTTTGAGCATGGGGGCAGCCAGCTGACAGGAAGACAGACAAGCTCTTGGGGAGACAGGCAGCCAGGGAGCTGTGAGGCTGAGGCACTGGGAGACCCCCCAGAGGGATATCAAATTCCCCACCCATGACGCGGAAGCCCCAAGGAGAGGCTCATGGCTAGCCAAGTGCTAAAGGAATGCTGAGGAACAAGGGCCAGTGACACGGAAATCTGCAGATGACCACAACACAGAGGGTGACACTGTATCTTCTCACAGCGCACACTTTAAAGCGGGGAGTCTTAGCAGGGGAGCAAAAGAGAGCAGCCACTCCCCTGGCAAGGTCCGCTGGCTAGGGAGTGCGGGCAGTGTGTGCCAGTGCTGTGTTTCATTCAGTGCTCCCCAGCAGAGGCTGAAACGAGCTCCTTCAGCAAACTGGGAAACAAATTCATGATGTGTTAAAGGAATAAAGACAAGAACATCTGGGTGGCACCAAATAAGTGAATATATACGACCATCTTCCGGAAAATGCAAGCCTGCCCCACCTCCGGCTTTGCTATAGCTGAAGTCAGTGTCTATCAACAAACCAGCATTGCTTTACCAAAAAATCTACAGAGGGCAGGAAGCATGTGCTTTCGTAGTTATTTATTGTAGAAAACGATCACCACCACAAGCCATTTTACTTGTATAAACTAACGAAGCCAGAACTTTGACACAACAAAGTGTGCTTCCCCTGATCATTAATCAAAAGCATTTTCAAAAGGACATAAGAAATGCAGTGAATGTTAGGTTAATACATATCATGAGCTCTTGAAAATATTTCCTTAATTTACTACTTCCTATTTCCCAGCCCAATTCAACGGAGGACCAAAAGAAGCATGCTGTTCGCCAGAGAACTTCTCCAGAGACCAGACTGTTGAAACCTGGAGAGGGAGCGAGCCAGAAGGCAGGCTGCTTCTGCCAGTAAGAATGAAAACAGCGATTATCAGCTGGGCAGTCCTCTTTTGCTAGGACTCTTTCAAAGCTTGATAATGGTTTAAAATTGCTCTGCTGAATTGTTTCCAAATGCTAGTCTCCTTAAAATATAAGACAATCAAAACTTCATTTTCCTTGGGGAAAAATTTTTACAAAAAATTAATTCCTGTATTTATGCCTCCATACATAAGAAGTATCCTGAATTTCTGTACATCAAAAAAAAAAAAAAAAAGTCTGTAGGTCAACTAGGCAAACAGTGACCTAGTGGCATTATAACACTGAAGCCAATGGGAAGCACAATTCCAATGCCCCTCTCCAGCCTGTTCCTTAAGAACCCTTCCGACCTGCAGACATCACAGCAACCCTGGCTGCTATCTCCACGCCCACCCACGGCAGGCCAGCAGCTCGTGGAGAGCTGCCTCAATGGAAGCCAAGAAGTTACTGGATTGCTGCTACTGGATACAGCTTCTAAAAGTGGACTAAGCTTGAATACCCCAAATAAGTCATACCTTTAAAATATTAAAGGTCAATATGCCTGCCATAAGACAATCGCTACTCCACAAGCATCATTTTGAGAAATACTGAAAATAACATTTATCTCCTGATGTATCAATAAGTCTTTCAAAACACAATGCTGGGCAAGGTAGCTCATGCCTGTAATCCCAGCACTTTGGGAGGCTGAGGTGGGTGGATCACTTGAGTCTAGGAGTTCAAGACCAGCCTGGTCAAGATGGTGAAACCCCATCTCTTCAAAAAAATTTTAAAAATTATCCAGGCATGGTGGCACACACCTGTAGTTCCAACTACGTCAGAGGCTAAGGAAGGAGGACTTATTGAGCCTGGGAGGAGGAGGTTGCAGTGAGCCTGATTGTGCCACTGCACTTCAGCCTGGGTGACAAAGCAAGACTCTGTCTCAAAAAAAGAAAAGAAAAGAAAAGAAAAAAAATTCACAAAGCTAAGTATGTAAATATAATAGACTATTTCCCTATGTCACTAGAACCAAATAAGCACTATGCTCTGGACAGTTTTACATGATCATTCTGTGGACTGGGCTACAGAACATTCATAACTGTGCATCCCCACCACTACCACCAAAAAAAAAGACGGAGGGAGGGAAGGGAGGGAAGGGAGGGAGGGAGAAAGGGAGGGGAGGGAAGGGGAGGGGAGGGGAGGGGAGGGGAGGGAGGGAGGGAGGGAGGAAGGAAGGAAGGAAGGAAGGAAGGAAGGAAGGAAGGAAGGAAGGAAGCCTTTGCCTAAAAAAATTTGTTAAATTATTAAAACTCAAAAGGCTTTAATATGCTAATGTGCACTGTAAATTTCTAAGGGTCTCCTGGCATCAGTAAGGCACTGTAACCTGAATAACATTTCTGCTGTCTTCTGGAACAGTTTGCAATCCGTATGGCTAACTAAAGCCAGGTCCTGAATTTGAGTCAGTAATGCCCTCTTGTCAGGGCCATCAACGCTGAGTATGCAAAAGGGGAGCACACAGTTAAGGCCAAGCATCAAGCACAATCGGAAAAGTAATTCAAGAATTCTGGGACTGGCCATGATTCAAAATAGGAAAACAGACTGAAGAGAGGCAGAAACTCATTCTGTTTCCCTAAACTTCCTCTAATTGGGTGAGACTCTCAAGAAAAAAACTGCTAAAATTTTTTCAGTATCTTAATGATCTCTAAAGCAACCAAGTTATTTTCCATTTCCTAAAAGTGCCTATATTGAAAAGACCCAACAGAGCAGCACACAGAAGACTCAGTGTGGTCTCCTCCCTTGTCTCTGAGCACAGAATTACAAGTAGCAGATGTGTTCTCCCTAATATTCGTAGAACTTATGAAAGCCCATAAAAACTTTTCTGTTAGAAAAACTTGGTAGTTACTTAAAAACCTGAAGCATATGTAGTCAATGTAGGCAGAAGAAAATACTACACATGAAAGAAAAGAGAGAGGGAGAAAGAACAGGACAGTTATACCCATCCCAAACAAACACAGTGCCACAATACTGCCAACGTGGGTACTATGACAAAATTTCCAATTTCAGGCATCAATATGCCAGTGCGATGGAATCAGTCATGCTAAAATGATGCCTATGTTGTACTTAAAACCAGGTAAAGAGACGGTGGTCAATACAAAGTCTCATAATGTGCAATTCCACAAATGTGGTACCAAAATTACAGACTTTGTAGAATTCAGGATTCAAAGTACTCAAAGATAAAAATTTTAAATTGAGCACAAAGGGACCTCTACTCCATTGCTTCCTAAAAATCAGCAACCGCTACTCACCACTTACACTTACAAACATCATACTTCACCCTATAATTAAATTTCTAGACGAGGATGTTCTCACTTGTGTGTTGCAATCTTTTTTTAAAAAATCCCAAACCAACAATAAAATTAAGATGCTGACTTCCCTTTAACTAGTTACCTCAATGGCATTTTGAAAATCTCTGTTCAGTTTATTATTAATATCAAAGTGAGGCTGGAGAAGCTCGGTGTCAAATGTTTTAGCTTTCCCTCTGCATGGCTCCTCATTTTATCAGTCATATATACTGCAAACACTACTAGCAAGGGAAAAACATAACATAATTCATGACCCGTGAGCTAAACAAAAGACCATTTTTGTGAGCAAAAATGGAAGTGAAAACTAACACAGTGATTTCTCATTTCTACCTGCATCCTCAAAATTAAAGAAGAAGCTGAACTGAGCTTAACAGAGAGAAATGCCAGCACAAGAAGAGATACCGCACATGACTAAATCCAGGTCCTGAATTTCAGTCCATAATTCTCTCCCTTGACTAGTATTACTATTTACTTCTGACAACGCAAGCCGAAGTAAATCATAATGATAGCACGATCCCAGCATTCCGTTCGTCAGTTTTATTAAATGTTTTCATGATGCTCAATACCACATGTGTGAAAGTGTTTCTGTGGGCATATTTACCCTGTTTGGGCTGTCTCTGAACAAATCCATTATCAGGAGAGAATGTGTTTTCTCCAAATGTCAAATTTTATTACAGTCAACAGATAAAAATATTAAAAGGTCACTTCCCTGGAGACAAATAAATACCAAGAGGATTTTTATATTACCTCATTCTGACACCAATTCCACAAATGGTAGAGGCAGCCACTTTTTTATTAGAAACAAGAAAAATGTAGTGTTACTCACAAGAATAGTTCCGTAGCTGAAAAGAAACTCTTCTGTTACAACCTGAGGTCGAAATACCTGTGTGATGAGAGATCCTGTAGATTAAATTCTGGAAGCTATGTACAATTTAGTGCAATAAAAAATGGAAACTGTTTTGAGTTAAGGATTCTCAGCTCCAGTTTACAAAGAAAAGAGGCACGGATCCCCTTTTCCTCCTCAATTTCATCATACCTGTGAGGTCACGAGGTGAAGCACCACAGGCATCAGGGGGAGACACAGCTTCAGCTGCTTCACTTGAACTGTTGATGGGTGTTTACGCCCAGAAACATTAGCCAAGGCGTTCAGAATGTCACCTGGGAAGCACAGCCCAGAGCATGCATGCAGGTTAAAAACCACAAATACTTAGGAGCTGCTGGTCATTGCTGGAATACTAATGGGACTTCTAAGGTAATTAATCTCCAAATAAAATAAACAGATATACTTATTCACAAGTACTGAAATTACAACAAACACTTATGACCTCTTGGGACAGAATGTGACACTCGGCAAACACACTATCAATGAACTCAATGTCTCGTGGAAGTGAAAAATAAAATTTAATAAATTATAATAGTTTTAGAAATTTTTTGTATTTTCCAAACGTCAATCATGAGTACTTGTTACTTCTGCAAACAAGAAAAAATATTTAAAATAATAAGCGAACGGATTACAGAACACGACCTACAACTGTAAGAAAACAGAAGAGGTTGGGAGTAAAAAGAGGTCGATTCCCAACACTTCTCATTGGACGATAAATAGAAAAATAAATACAACTTGCTTTGCGGGCACCAGAATCTTACCGTCATACCCTAAAACAGGATAAGTCCAGGAATAAAGAATTCAGCTACCAACTGACCAAATTATAGCCTTCAGGTTAGAGCTAAAAATGCTTACAATTCGAAATAAATTTTCAGAGGCTCTATTTTCAGTCATCACCAGGCAAAAATAATCTCCTAAAGTATCAGTAAAGAGCAAAAAGTTACTGTCAGTTGGCCTTGAAGATATTTTCATTACTTTGATTTAAGATTCTGGATTCCTGAATCTAAGTACTCTCTACTCTAACAGCTTGAATCAAATTTAACATTCTAAACATTTCTGGTTTACAGCTACATCTGCTGGAAAAGCATGGAATGGGGTTCAAGCTGCATGTACATGCTCCTTAGCTTATTTTCATTTCTGCAAAAACAATGAAATACAGTATTTCTTTAGCTGTAATAAACGTCCTTTACCAATCATTAGAGGTTTTTATCGTAAGATAAATTCTTCAAACAAAGAAAGTTTCAAACTTTAAACGAATGTCAAAATTCTCTCACATTACAGTTGAATATTTAAAATCCAAATCCATGCCTTTTTGTTCTCACTTACTGTGGGCGTTAATAATGATTACGTGGCAGAAGAAAACGGACAGCAACACAGACTGAGAAGGGTGAGCGGGTGTGGCGGGATGACGAAGAAAGGCGGGTCAGAGGGTACGAGCATACAGTCAGATGGAAGAGTAAGTTCAAAGCCTGACGGCAGAGCAGGTGACTAGTTAACAAAAAGGTACTGGAGGTGGGTGTCACACACCCTAAATGTGCCGACTTGATCGCTATGCATTTTATACATAGAACGACGTTTCTCACATACTCTACAAATTTGTACAAATAAAAGAAAATCTTGTCTCAGCAAGGGAAAAAAATAAACAAAATCTATGGATTTTTTATGTTTTTTTTTTTAACAATAAATAAATTTTTGGCTCTAATCCCAAGAGAAAATTCGTCTGATTTAGGCAGGAAAAAATCTTAAGAAAAGTTAGCCCCAAATACGTAAGTCCAATTTTAAGCATTTAAAACACTTTTCTTTTATATATTTTCTCAAATTGCCAGTTTACCTCAGATCACACCTTAATGTGACATGGTGTCATCAGGCCTCATCACTGTCATTGATGCAAAATAATTACAAAAACAGATAAAGCAAATTTAAATCTTGAAACTACACATTCATGAAAAGGTGACTTTGCCTTCAAGAACAGGCAAGTGAGAATTAAAAAAGAACTGATGCCTAAAAGCCAGGTCTTAGAAAGGAAAGCAGAAACGGGGCCTGTGGACAAGACTCCAGCCTACCCAGGATCCGTGGCAGCTCCTGCACGATGTGACAGATGAGAAGATCCAGGCATCTGGACAGGTATTCATTGCCGCTTTGCTGCTCCTTGCCTGGGGTGGTCTTTCTGCTGTCTCTCTCGATGTACATCACCAGTCTACATGCAGGAAAGTGCAGAGATTACCTCTCAGGATAAAACACTTGATAGCATCTGTCCGAAAATGCCGCCACGGCGAGTGTTTCCGGAGGGCGTCCGTCCAGTCACATTGATGTTTACATTGGCAGCAACCTGTCAGGGACAATTTTTGCCTCGGAAAACTTAAAACACTTATGGAGAAAGAAAATAAGGCAACTTTGAATTTCTCTGCTAATGTCCTGATTTCATTTGCCTTGGCCAGTGGAAACAATCAATATTCTCCAGGTGATAAATGAAAGGCAAAGAGATGTCTGGGCAGAAGAGGGCTCCTTATGTCTCAGAGGTTCAAAGCAACCACAGGTTAACTACACATTTGTTTGTCATCAGTACTGAACTTGCTTGGGAACCTACATGATTCACATGAATTTCAATTCTCTCAGCAAATAGTGTACATAAATCCAAAGAAAAGGTTTCATTTTAACAATGGGTTATACAGATGGCGGATACTAAATACCTGGCTTTTACATGTCTCTTTATCTACTCGTTTTATGGTACCTGCCTTTTAAAGTTAACTTGTGCCTTCTTTCAAAATACTGGTATTCTTTAGACATTCATTTCTGAACTAACCACTTCCAACCCAGAACTAGGGAGTCTACTGGACCACCACCTTAGACATTTAAGATGTTACCACATCTTAACTTTTAGGTCCTCTCCCCACTTTCTCCCCTTTGCTGGGCATACTAGTCATTTCCTCAAGTTCCCATTCCCCACAACTCCACTGATTTCATCATGCACAAGTCCCTTTAAAGCAATCTCCATGGTCACTGCCATCCATCCATCCATCCATTTCTGTTATTCTCACCCATCCAGCCAGCTTTTACTTCTCAGAAAGTACTTCCAACCAATTCCCCTTGCAAACTGGAGCTGTACTCACAATACACACATGTAGGTCAAATGTATTGAAATCCTGACACAGCGTGGATGGGGCTCTCTCAATGGATTTATTCATGTATTTGCATTTCTGTGTACTACTGTTCGGAACTCACTAGTGAACGTGTGAGGATGAACTTGAATCAGGAAGCTGGCCTTGATGCTGTATCCATCAGGTAGCACCCTCTGTTCTAGGCGCTGATTATGTGGATAGAGCCATAATCACTTTCAACCTAGTTGTTCCTCAACCACCTTCAATCTGACTTTCTCTCTCTTTGCCATCTCTAAGGTCACATGACATCAAATCCAATGGGCCTTCATTGGCCTTCACCTACACAAGTCAGCAGCATTCAACACTGCTGCCACCCCGCTGCTCCTCCGCCACGACGTCTGACTTTACTGGTTTTCTTCTCCAGTTTCTCTGGTTGTTCCTTCTCCATGTCTTTTGCTGGTTCACGCACTTTTCCTTTTTTTGAGGCAGAGTTTCACTCTTGCTGCCCAGGCTGGAGTGCAGTGGTGCAATCTCAGCTGACTGAAACCTCTACCTCCCAGGTTCAAGCAATTCTCCTGCCTCAGCCTCCCAAGTAACTGTGATTACAGGTGCTACTGGCATACACCACCACGCCCAGCTAATTTTTTGTATTTTTAGTAGAAATGGGGTTTCACCATGTTGGCCAGGCTGGTCTCGAACTCCTGACATCATGTGATCTGCTTGCCTCGGCCTCCCAAAGTGCTGGGATTACAGACATGAGCCACTGGGCCCGGCCAGTTCACACTCTTAAATGCTGAAGTTTATCAATACTGAGTTCTAGGCCCATAGCCATCCTCTAACTGTTTAACCCAGGCTATCTAATTCCTACCAATGATTTAAATTACTACTTTTCTATACACATAATCTTCCAATTATATATCTGGAGCTTGATCAAACCTGGTCCCTAAGTTATATACCAATATATTCAACTGCTGACTTGACATCTGATTTTAGCTGTCTTAAAGGCACTTCAAACTCCATATCCAAAATAAACGTCATCATCTCACCAAACCTGGTTTTCTTCCAGAGCACAATATCCCACTGTTTAGTATCACTCTCTACCTCACTAAACAAACCAGAACCTAGGAGAGTCATCCTTTTCTCTCACTTCCCATATTAAATCAATCATTGGATATTCTTCAGACTCTTCCACTTCTCCACTCCAAACCAAGAGCAAGCGACCGTATTTCCTCCTCCTGGCCTATTACCCCAGCCTTCTAGCTAACTAGTCCACCTGCTTCTCCTCTGTCATTCCAATCCTTGCACACCCTACATCTAAACTAATCTTCTCCATCAGGTCACTCCCCTATTTAAAACCCTTCCAAGGCATCTCACTGTTCCTCAGATGGGAGTTCTTAAAACTCCCTATCATGACCTACAAGACCTGACCCCCAATTACCTCCCCAGTTTCATCTTGCTTTCTCTCCCTCCAGTCACACTGAGTTCTCTGTCCCTCAAATACAGTACCTCCGCCCACAACAAGCTACACAATTAATCCACACACATAAGGGGACTGGCTAGGTAAAAATGGTACATGATTAGAATGCAGGTGTCAAAAAGCAGCAGCTCTTTATACACTATATGAAAAAACTACAAGATATATTTTTAAGTAAAACAAGCAAGGTTCAAAATAGAAAACTTTTGCTTATATAAAGGGAGGGAAATAATCAATATTGATATTTGCTTAGATTTTTTAAAAATCCAGCAGGATAAATGAGCTAATAATGATGCTTAATTTTACGTGGTGGTAATCTAGGGTAATAAAGTATAGGTGAGAAGTTTTAACTTTGAATTTGTTTTTTTGGTTTTTGAACCATGAGTCGGCATTACCTACTCAAAGCTTTCAGTGTAAGTTATTTTTCTTTTGAGACAGAGTCTCACTCTGTCACCCAGGCTGGAGTGCATGCAGTGCCGTGATCTCAGCTCACTGCAACCTCTGCCACATGGGTTCAAGCGATTCTCCTGCCTCGGCCTTCTGAGTAGCTGGGATTACAGGCACCTGCCACCGCACCCAGCTAACTGTTGTATTTTTAGCAGAGACAGAGTTTTGTCATTTTGGCCAGGCTGGTCTTGAACTCCTGACCTTGTGATCCACCCACCTCAGCCTCCCAAAGTGCTGGGATTACAGGCATGAGCCACCATGCCCGCAGAGTGATTTTAAACATTAAGTGATATTGTTGTCCTACAGACCCTTTTAAAAAATATTTTTAGGCGATTAATGCTTAATTTCCTAGGATACCCTACCAAATATAAATGCTGAGTGCAAGGCAAACAGACAAGCACATTTGTAAGATTTATGCTTTCTCACGGCGTCAAGTGTCAGGCTGCCTTTACAAAAGAAGCAAACCGACAGTGCTCTGGCAGTACCCCACAACTTTACTGTGGCTTGTGTCCATTACGATTCCTGGACTCCTTCCTTCACAGGGTCAAATCTTTGCCTTTGACTATAATGAAACAGAGATGTCAACCAAACCTGGAAGCAATTCTCAGCTGCTGCACTTCCTGACAGTGTGATCTTGTACAAATTAAGCTCTTACAGACTTCAGTTTTCTAATTACAAAATGAGATGAGAATGCCGGCCTTACAGGACTGCTGCGAGGAAGTCAATGAGTATGTAAATACTCAGGAAACCGCAGCTGCTTTATCACCACCAACAACCTTGGGACACTGCTTTCTTGAGTACACAAATCTTAAGAGAAAGTCCGTAGAGAAGGCTAACACTCTGCTTTTCATCCCGTTCTCCGAATCACCAATCACCATGGTCAAAAGCCCTGCCCCACTTCTGCATCTGAAGCACTGACTCAACTTACTAAAATGAAGGAGAGCCGGACGTCTCTTCAGAGATGAGATAGAATTTGATGCCATGAAAATTCTTCTACTTTTGATATAGGAAGAACAAACATATTCTTTAAGAATATAACTAGTTTTGTCTTCATTAAACATGCAGAATATATAACCATTTATTTACCCATCATTCTATTGAAAGACATGAGGGGTGCTTTCAGCTTTTGTTCTCAAAAAACAATGCTTGAGGAACACTGCTTTACCTGTTTCCTGGTGCACATGTGCAAGAGTTGCTAGGGTGTATAGGAACAGAAGCTGGAATATTCAATGTCACAACCCTGCCAAACTGGCCTCCAAGTGGTTGTCCCAATTTATTCCCACCAGTAGTGTATGTGTTCCCTCTAAGTTACAACCTCACCAATCCCTACTGGTATTAGACTTAATTTCTGCCTATCTATCTATGGGGTCTAAAGCGGTACCTTGTAGTCTTAATTTGAATTCTCATAATTATTAAGGACAGTGAGAATATTTTGGTAGTTATTTTCTATTCATATTTCCTCTTTTCTGAGGAAAACAAGAAAATATCAAAAGAGAAAACATAAACAGCAAATCCCTGAAAATGCCGATTTCTGAAATGCCTGTTCAGGTTTTTTGCTCATTCTCCCTTGGGGTACTGATCTTTTGTTACCAATTTGGAGGTCTGGATCTTTTCTCTTCTTTCTCTTAGTCCCCTTCTTTTTTTTTTTTTTTTTTGAGACGGAGTTTTGCTCTTGTTACCCAGGCTGGAGTGCAATGGCGCGATCTCGGCTCACCGCAACCTCCGCCTCCTGGGTTCAGGCAATTCTCCTGCCTCAGCCTCCTGAGTAGCTGGGATTACAGGCATGTGCCACCATGCCCAGCTAATGTTTTGTATTTTTAGTAGAGACGGGGTTTCACCATGTTGGCCAGGATGGTCTCGATCTCTTGACCTCGTGATCTACCCGCCTCAGCCTCCCAAAGTGCTGGGATTACAGGCTTGAGCCACTGCGCCCGGCCTAGTCCCCTTCTTTACCCTCTTTCTTCCTTCTTCCTGTTTCTCCTTCTCCTCCTCCTCGTGTCTTTCACATTGAATTCCTCAATCCACTAAAAACTGACTTATCTTGTGGGTTGAGGTGGGAATCTAATTCCATTGTTTTTCCAGGTGGACGAGCACTTGTCTGATACTATTTATTGAAAAGCTCTTTCTAAAACTAGGGGTGAGGAAGGAGGAGTAAAAGATCAAATATCTGACAAAATG